CTGAGTGAGGAGGAGTTGAACGTGCTCCTCTTGAGGACTTTGTTTGCCAGAAGGCTGCAGGTCTTCCTGTACTGGTGACGCAACAGTGAGTAGACAAATGGGTCGCTTGCTGCCTTGGTGTAGGCCAAGCATTTGGACAGCACACCCCAGTGAGAGTTTATGGGTCCTGGGATGAAAAGCTCTACAATTCTACCTCAAACAGAGAAAACATGGGAAGAAAAGTCACATACAATTGATGGACAAAGTGCAGCTTCTTACATGAGTGAAATGGAAGAAATCTACAACACTTAATGAATCTCCACCAGTGCCTCAGTACTGTGAAAATGTCATCACTTCATTTCACTTCACTGAAATGTCATCACTATGTTCGGGGAATCTGAACAGATGGCTGTGGCTTTTGTGGATTCTCAAGTTCTTGCAAATGATGATTTCTTTTTAAATTCCTATTACATCAAAATAAAGGCTGGACAAACCAGCAAGAGCATTTTTTTTGCACTTGTTATTAACCGCAAGTGCAAACAGTGAGTGCACGTTATACTGTAAAGAATTAAGTAAAGATGTAGTAGCTTAAATATTTAAAATATTATCTTACACATACAGTAGTTACCACCATCTGTATTGCTGTACTTGATAAGCTTTTGATCATTAGCTGTAGTCCAATATCTCCTTGATGCCAGTTGTTAAAAATTTATTTTTAATCTTTTGATTCAAAATGAAGAAAAATGTACGAAACCTTCACATCTTCTGGTGACAGTATGGTGGTAAATATCTCTCACAAACATGGATTCTGCTCCCACCCACACACACACACATACACATCCACAAACCATGCAGCATTATACATCGCTCCTCACCTTGTAATGACATAAGGCGTGAAGCACACCATAAATGTGCCGATGAATGTACTGATTTTTTTGGTGGCCCTCTGCCTCCTCCGCTTCTGTTCATCCAAGCATTTCTGGCGTACACTGTCAAAGCACACAGGTAAGATTATCTCCCTTGTATGCATTACCAGAGACATGCAAACATAATTAAGCAGTCAAAATAGAAGACATATGAGGCAGACTTGAAGAGAACAGTACACTGTGCACTGTTATCTAAGACAATTACATCAGGGATTCTCACACTACAGAGATAAAAAGAAAATATACAAAGAGAGAGCATTTCAATTCTGTTACTAGGAATCAAATGTGGTTATTTTATTCAATCAAATGTCCAACATTTGATTACAAATTTTGATAGACATTATCAATATGATGGACAGCTTTATAACAGCTAGTGAATCTGTAAAGATTCTGTTTGATTTAAATAAATGCACTAAATAAAGGTTTTCTTATATAATCACAATTTGCTGACAGAATGATTTAACCTCCAAAGTATCCAAATGATTGTTTGACACACTGGATAACATAAATAACAATGGGTGGAAATGTTTTATTAAAAGACACATGTATTAAAAGGACAGGTGGATTAGAGCGAATGCATCTCTAATGCTTGTTTACCTGGGGTGGATATCCACAAGCAGCACCAGTGTCTGCATAGTGATGACGTCGATGCGTTTACAGTGAAACCTCGCAACTTTGAGAACTTTGAGATACGTTACACACAGCACGATCAGCGTGAGAAGGAAAGTGAGAGAGTGCAAAACCACGGTGAAAATGATGAACTGCGTCCCGGCTCCCTTCGCTCTCACACTGCACAGCGTGCACGATGCGTAAAGGTGGTTGTAGCCGACCCAGGAACGGCAGGTAGCCACCGTGGAGAAGCAAAGTGAATGTATCCACGTGTATCCTAGAGCTATCACTGCATCCCGGTGCCGTATTCTTGAGTGGTAGCTCAGCGGGAAAACCACCGCCACCCATCTATCGATGCTAAGAGCTGCCATGGTCAACATGGAGTTTGTGGTGAGAAAAGTGTCGAGGAAACCCACAATTTGACAGAAACCGCTGCCCCCGGGGTGGCCCGTGGTGATGAGCCCGATCAGAGTTAGTGGCATGTTGGACACGCTCAGCAACAGGTTGCAAAACGTCAAATTGAGAATAAAAAGGCCGGGTACCTGTTTGCGGATCTCTGGATTGTACATAAAGCAGATCAGCACCACAACGTTGGACAGCAGCGACACGACAATAATCCCCAAAACCAGCACAGAGGCAACTATGTCCGCTGCGTCCATCATGCTTCCTCTCAGAAACCCAGACTTTTGAAAAGTGCATCCATAGTCCTGATGCGAGCTGTCATCGTGAGTTGTGGACACAACGTATATGAGTCCAACAGATGAACATGCTGCTTACCCTCACCGGTATACGAACGTCTTCATTACACGAAGCTACTCTTCCAGCAGCGTCGAAGATGGGGTTGTGGGAAATTCGCACAGAGACCGCTCACCTTGTTACTGTGGGGGAATTTAGAAGTCTTCTTTACTGGAATGGGGTCACAGTAGGAGGCTGGTTCTCTTGCGGCGCTGCGGTAGTTTTTTCAGTGGTCATGTCACTGGTCTCACACATCGGGGGTTCCTGCTGCGCAATTGCGCACTGACATGATGGACGGCTTTTTTTAAGGACAAAAAGTGCTTAAAGCAGTCGCTGTGTTTGAGCACTTACAGTCTATTGTCTTTTACTGCCAGCGTCTGAAGCACGCTGGTGCACTCGTTCAAAAATAGCTTTTTAGTGTAAAAATAGAAGTGCGACGCACGATTACGTGGCTGGTGGTAATGCTGATGTCATAAGCGTCACGTTGAAATCTGGAGTTTGGTAATGAAATGTTTTTGTGGGGTTTGGGGAAAAAATAGAAGCTTTAAAATATTTAAATAGCTAATTGAATGTTTTGCAAGTCAGTGTGACGAGATTAAATGGCAACACTATCATCACTTTATTAACATTTCACAGCAGATACACTTTTGCCCAGAGCTCAGAAATCGTTGCGAGAACTGAGTTACCGGAGCAGTAACAGCCCAGTGTTCAAAGCTTTACGTGGTGCTTTAATTGGACGCAGTGCAGCTGGATTACATCCAGGGTATTAGTCCACAGTGCAGCAGTACCACCGCCTCTGGCACAAAACAGAACCGCGTGCATCCCCCAGCCCTGCAAAGGAAGGCACACTGTTAGAGATACTGTGTTTTCAATAGATCAGCAGTGTGTGTATGTGTGTGTAGTGTGTGGTTAAAGATCTTGAATTAGAAGACATTTCGGTTCCTTCCTGTCTTCTTTACAAGATTGTTCAAGGTATATTTAAGCTTTACAATTAGAAGTTCTGAAGTTCAGCCTTTAAAATGGTGATTTGGAAGTAAGGGAATAGTGAATTTATGATGTACTGTATACATCATTTGCCATCTTTGTGAATTAAAAAATAGTCTTGTTTGAGTTCAGAAAAGCACATAGGTATTAAAATATAGAAAATATGACCCACATAAATGCTTTCTTGTTTATCAATGGTTGTAAATAATGGCAACATTTTTACATAAAGGTAGATCAAATTGATTTCAGTGAAGATTTAGAGGTTTCAAAAAAATACAAAGGAAATACAAATGTGAAAAAGTGCACAGTAGAGTTCTGCTTAGTACCTATATTATGCTGATAACAGTGCACTATAGGTCTGTACAGATATCCTTCACTACCCATACATTTGAAATATTATTTTACTTTATCGCTGTCCCTCACTATCACTAATATATGTGTGATCGTTCTTTTTTATCTATCCAAAGTAGTTCAAATGCAACATGATGCCTACTTTTGAATGCAGAAAGTTCAGCTTCAGACATACAACAAAGAATTAAATATTCATGCAGTGTCCTCTTTTCATTTCAGTTAACAGCCAAACGAAAAAAAAGGAAAGAAAAGATAATGACATGTTTAGGCTACAGCAGTCTTTGCAGTGAAGCACAAAGTTAATGGCTCTACAGATTTACCCTATTATGTGAAAATGTTCACACTGAATAATATGGTACAAGGCTGACAACTGTGCAGAGCACTGAAAGGGAAAATATGGTGTATTCTTTACAAATCACTAAGTGTAACTAGATCAGACTAATGAAAGTGGTGAATAATGAGTTGCAGTGATTATATGTTGTATGTGTTTTGATACATGCTAAATCTTATGTCAAGGGTGAATCAGGGAGGTCAGACAACGAGAACATTTAACATCTTTGTCATGCTGCAGTTACTGTGTTGTATTAAATTGCTGTTACAGTCTGAAAAAAAAAACCCCAATCTCACACTACAAACCTGTAGACTGTTCATGTGACAAATGTAATTTGTGACCATCGCATCAATATTAGTCATATAGCAGTTTCTATTTTCACATATCCTTTAAATACACAGTATAGAGTCATTAACCACTGTCGCCATCCACCACACATGTGAGCTCTTTGAACATTTCAATTAACCTGTTCAGTGAGACCGGCACAGTAAAGGTGCAAATTAAAATTACTAATTTCCACAAAAATCATTTAACTCAGATTAGCTTCAGGGCCAAAATTAAAAGCTTGGATTTGATGTATGGTGTTTAATTGAAAAAGATTTCCCCACTGTCCAGCTACAAGGTGAGAAGCCAGTCTATTTGCTAGAACAGTGGTCACATGTGCAGCTGTCTAGCCATCTTATAAATTAAAGGTAATGACAAATATCTAGCAGGGCACTGATTTTTTAATTAATACCACAGAGAGAGAAGTTTTTAACTTTTTCATACAGGAGCAGATGGTAAGTCCACAAAGAACATCAATTCTCCCTGGTGCTCCCAAAGCCAAGATAAAGTCCAACTTCATTTTCTTACACAGACTGAGTTAATGAGGTGAGAGTTTACAGCTCCAAATGGCCATACAAAGAATCACCCAATGGTCTCTGCAGACACTAGAAGTCAGAAGTAATTTCTAAAACCTTTGATTTAGTTCAATTTTCTTCATTTGTGTTCAGACTGACCAAAAAAACACAAAGGATTAAATCCATGCTTTCATTTTGTTTCTGTTTGAAAATACCTTTCTCTGGCGCCATCCAATGGTAGGAATAGAAAAAGACACCACGACCAGACAGCGTGAACACAAGATGAGCGTGCTTCAAGCAACAGGTAGATGGCTGTGTGTGTTAAATCATTTTAAATCTGCTGTAATACACAAACAAACATTAAAGCAGCACAACTGAAACAAAAGTCGCTCTTGTGTTGACAAAGTGCTTCACAATGTTTGGCTCTTCCTTGCTGGCGTGTTCAGCCGCATTAATGCAGGTGTCTTCATTCATGCTAAGGTCGCATTTGACCTGATAATAATAATGCCCCTGGTTTCGGAAGGCTTGGTTAATCATTGAGTAATATGCTAACGCACACCAGAAGTTTTCTCGTGTTTGCTGCCGATATCTGTCTCTAAGGTCTTTTCAAATGAGTCGTTTAAGTGTCTGTTGCTGTTTAGATGCAGTTTGTGATTGGTTAATGGCTTTGCTATGTTTTCAGGCGATGTGGTGCCTGTTCAGTTGTTGTGTGCGCATTCAAACTGTGTGATTGTTGCTATCCACAGTGGTCAATTGTTATCTTCTTTTAAATATTCGCTTTTGCATCCTGCTTGATCGCTAGATTTATATATTTATATAATATTACTGTTTTTAGAGATTAATATAAGGATTAGGCCTGGTTGCAAATACCGTGTTTGGTTCTGAATGTGTCGCTCTCATGAACTTACATTAGTATTTTGGACATGTATGCCTTCTCACCCAGTATTATTGAGTTCCATCTCGGATGAGAGGGGCTTGCTGGCATTCAAATCACAGTCTGGAGTTCATCCACATAGGTTGGATGCATCACAGTGTAGAATATTAATTTTGAATTTGAATAAGGTCAGTATCCAGCGACAGCAAGCTTAATGCCACATGGGACACCGTGATTTAAGCCTGTTCTCATCAATTTACGTTCTCTGCAGGCGGCCTTGTTTGTTTTCGTGTAGTTATATGAATCGACTAATTAAAACTGACTGTGCCATTGGTTTGTCTGCTTAGCTGGACATCTCCTGTGTCCATCTGCACAGTTACTGCTTCGTCACACCGAACATGCTACTGGCTAAAGGAAAAAAAAATTGATGACCTTTAAAGGAGAATCATAACATTTCCCATCTCTGTATATTTTTAGGTCAGTTACTCAGTACACCTGTGCTCCCTCTCAGTGTGCTGCCTTCTTCAGATGTTGGATTGCTTTCATGTTGAATTTACACTTCATGCAAAGCTCTGGTTTTAATATTGGCTAAACCTCAAATGGCTGGTTGTTTCTTGGCTGTACATAAATTGTTGCAGCCATTCCAGGCCCCGTTAATCATACCCATCGCCCATCTGCTTTGATGTCCTTTCTCTGGTAATGAGTGTAACATCGCTGTACACAGCCGCGACAGTAAGCAGCTTCCACTAGCCTTTTTAAATGAAGTGCTGGGTAAGTTTTAATGAGATGTCACGATGGTACATGTCAGGACCTTCATAATCTGGACATATGAGGCTTTGCTTTATCCTTCTGGTCTCTCCTAGCACCTACAACTGTGTGTGTGTGTGTTTGCTCGCTCCTAACCTTCAGTTCTTATGGCAATTAAAAATTGCCAGAAAAAAATGCCTGACTGCAGCCCGAACTGGCTCTTTTGTATTTTCAGGCTGTCTTTTGTTCTTCTTCTCTGTTTGGAGCCATATCACCTTTTTTTAAGCACAGTTTCATTTCCACATAAATTGCCAAACTGCTAGACAATGTCATGGTTCATCCTTTTGACAGAGAAGTGCACAATTACATTTCTGCATTTTAGGTGATGTCTTAAGTTCAATACTATAAGTTCAATATTCTGACTTGATAATTCACATAGCAATAGAAGTAAAGGGTTAAAGTGGGGATATGTTTTTCTCTTTTTTTAGCTGCAGAAAGCTGCAACAGAAAACATACAAATGAATATAACCTTGAGAATATTTCAGTTCAGGATGCTCAGACAGTTAATGTAAACTCATTTTCTTTGTTTGCCTCTCTGACCATAAAAGCTATTTTTGTTTAATAGCTGAACAATGTGGTTCCTGAAACATATTAAACTCAATTATTTTAAATAATGATGTGGAGGATTGGAAATGTCGGCGTTCACATTAACAGTAAAGTGGGGTTTGTTTAAAACAAAAGCCACCTCTGTTTTCTGAGACGACTGAGGTGCTTTAACATCTGTTTGCTCGGGATGTTTTATGAGGTTGTGGTTGCCAGCGCCATCCTCTATGTAGTGATGTGCTACGGCAGCAGACTGAGCGCAGCGGATTACAACAGACTCAATAAACGGATTTACAAGGCCAGTAATGCTGTGGGTGTGGAGCCTGGCTTTCTGACAGAGGTTTCAGAAAAGAGGATGCTGTCGAAGTTATGGTCAGAATTGGACAATCCTTCACATCCTCTCCATTTTGTGCTGAACAACAACAGGAGCATGTTCAGCAAAAACTCCTTCCACCGCAATATGTCGGAGGAAAACATTTTTCAGTTTTCAACCTAAATTTTCATTTGGATTGATTGTTTGTCATTGCGATGTCACTATATCTACTTCTATGGGTAGAGCGAGAGAAGTGTCCATGATAGGAGTGCACACCTTTTCATTTACCATTAAGGCTGCTCTACTGGTCCTTTCATATCGTAAGCACCACAGTATGATAAATGACTGTGGATACATTTGTTTGCTTTCATTAGATGCTCATCTTTATGTTTCATTGGGATGGCATCAGACAAAAGTTCCATTGTCATCTCTGCGCCCATTCCAGATCATCCACAGTACATAATTGCTTCTCTTTAGCTCTACAAGATTTCCGACAATGCTTTGACAGAAATTGAGTGCTGTCTCTGTTTCTTCTCTTTTGTTTTCCTTTTTTGCTCATTTCCTATTTTCAGGGAATCATGTTTAATTTTCTTTTTTTGTATTTCCTGTTTAACTAATCAATATCTTTTGTCCCACCTATGATGGATTTCACTTTTAAACAAGATGTAAAATCCTTTCCATTGTGTCAACTCGTATATCTCTTGTTGAGACCACAGTTCCCTTCAATCAGCCAGGTCCTGTTTAATAAGGACTGCAAACTGCTCTGTTTTTAGCTGCAGACTGTTTGGATATTTAGATTTGTGCAGTTATTTGTCTTAGAAATGCAGGCTTTTTAGTGTTGTTTTTCATCAACATCAAATGATTTCATAATTTCATCCTCTACTTGATCTGGAAAAAATGTAGCATTAATGACATAAATCTGAATTTTCAACCAAAATAAACAAAAATACATTTGTGTCAAATCAGCTGAATGAACGTCCTCCAGGTGTGTTGATTTCATATTTGTTTTGTCAGAGGCTGTACTTCACCTTTGTTTAAACCTACAGCATTGTATGTGGAGGATGCGTCCCCTTGTGGTAAAAGAGGAAAGTAGGATTGTTGCCATCTCCTGTGATAAGAAGCTACTGTTGTCATACAGCAGTAGCATCACGCCCAACCTGATGTGGGTGGATGGATGTGCTGATCTGTCAGTCACCTGCTCCTCCCTAACAGTTAAGATTGCTGTAGTTACAAAAGCAACACTTGCACAGGCTCAAGCTTATGTTGCTGGAATATTTGCTAGGAATTCATTGTAACATTAACACTGGACATCTTTTCACCTAAAGCATAGAGATTCTGTTAATCTGCTTTCTGGTGCAGTGCTTCCCTCTACTGATTAAGAAATGGTAAGAAGGGAATGACTGTTATTCAAATACAAGAGTAACCGTGTGACAATATTCTTGCTACAAATAAAATTTACATTGTCAATTCTGAATAATTCATTAAAACTTTTTTTTAAAATTATATTAATGTGACTATTGGTACATTTTCTTAATAGTTTTAGTTATTAAATTACATTGCATACAATTATGAGAAGATTACTCAGTTTTATCTTTTTATATTAATGGGAGCAGATACAGGAAGGGAGAGGGGGAATCGATTCCCTGGAGCACCTTTGAGTCTTCTGGTGATGTCCTTTTTTGTCCAGAGGAGGGTGCTCTCGGCTCTGTTGACGCTCTAAAGGCTGAACCTGGTGGAGGTGAGCTAGTGCAGTGGGTGCTGTCTGAGCTGTCAACACTCATTAGTGCTGTCTCATTAAAGTAATGTCAGTGGCACTCCATTAGCAGTAAAATGAACAGCTGCCCTGCCTTGAGGCCAAGTCAACAAGTGAACTTTGTGAGTCCGTGCAGCCTGCAGGTCAACCTCCTTTTAAGTAGGAGGAGAGAACAAACTGTTATTTGTTTTGGTTTTTAAATTAGTCTGCAAAGCTGTTTTTAGGTCAAATTGTAGAATGTGGTTTCAGAATAGGATCAGGGATAGCTCAAAATTTAGGTAGTCACTGATATTTGAAATTTTGCAGGATGTATGCAGATTTTGGAGATGCATTTGCAGTCATGGCTTGTTTAACACAGAAACATTGTAGGTGTCTGTTTTTCTGCAGACAGGTCAATAACAAAACATGATGATATAAAATTTAGAGATCTCAGTAAGACATGGGGAATCTGGCCATAGGATCAAGACTGAGAGACACGGGAAATTGTACCTTTGCTGTTGTGGCCCTAAAAGCTCTCCAGTAAGCTTTCCTCTGCATATTAGACTCACTTCTCCACTGCCCTTTTTAAAAAAAGGTATTCCACTTTTAAGATACATCTTTATTTATACAGTTTTAACACTGTGTGAATATAGCTTTTGTTTTTGTTGCTGTTTAATTCGTATTGCTCTCGTCGCTTAATATCCTTTTTTTTTAAATTGGTGTTTTTAATACTCTGTTTTTCTGCTTTGTACAGCCTTGTTTGGTTTTGAACACACCGTCTTCATCATTTTGAATTGATAAAATAAACAATTGAATGGGGAAATGGGGTCCAGAGATTAATTATCTCTTGAGTATTTTGTTAATTTTATGATTTAATAATTGTGTCGATCATAGAAGACCACAGGCAACTGACTCAGAACTTTTTATACATCAATGTGTTCAAAAATTTCATGTTGTGACACCAGAGGGTGAAGTTACCCCTTCACTTTGATGTAATGACTGTGTAAACATTAGATTTTGGGGCATTAATATAGT